TAGGGCAATTTTTTAAAATATATTTCTTTATTGAATTAAGAGAGGAAGGGAGAGGGAGGAAGAGATAGAAACATCAATGACGAGAAAGAATCATTGATTGTCTGGCTTCTGCACGGCCCCTACTGGGATCAAGCCCGCAACCCGGGCACGTGCCCTTGGCTGGAATAGAACCCAGGACCTTTCAGTCTGCAGGCCAATGCTCTATCCACTGAGTCAAACCAGCTAGGGCTATTTTTTATTTATTTATTTATTTATTTTCAAGTATATTTTTATAGATTTCAGAGAGGAAGAGAGAAGTAGAGAGAGATAAAAACATAACTGATGAGAGGGAATCATTGATTAGCTGCCTCCTGCACATCCCACCCTGGCGATTGAGCCCGCAACCTGGTCGTGTGTCCAGACTGGGAATCGAACCCGTGACCTCTTGGTGCATGGGTTAGCATGCAAGACTGAACCACACTTGCTGGACCAGGCAGAATAATCTTGTTGTAAGATTACTCATAGTGAATTTCCAACTTGGATTGTGGTTTTTATGTGTCCTATTCCATGAGAACTGAATTCCATTAACAAACCCTTTTAGTTCAAAGTTCTGTATGAATTTTTCCTTATGTTTTCTTTTTCTGTGTATTCAGAAGTCTGGCATATGATGTGGAAACATCACACTTAAGAAGAACTCCGTATACTTAAAACCAGCGTGACGTTTCCCGCTGAGAAATATACATCACTGACCCTTAACCGTGTAAATGCAGCCTTCAGAAATCTATAAGCCTGTGTCCATGTCTTAATTTTACTTTATTTTCCTGTAAAGGAAAATCTGTACTGTGGATTTGTGGACATGTGTCATCCTCATGTGTCAATGTTAGAAAACACATCACAGAACTTTACTGGGGCAAAGTGATCTTACTGTATAGTTCAGGATACCCGTTAGGTCAAAACATCTTCTCCTAACACTGTTTTCATGTTGGGTGACATTATGAAGTCTTCTCATGACCTATTGGTAACTGTCTTTTATTTCAGGAACGGTTGTACTTCATGGATGTGGCCATAGATTTCTCTCAGGAGGAGTGGGAATGCCTGGACCCAGCTCAGCGGAAATTGTACATGGATGTGATGTCGGAGAACTACAGCAACCTGGTCTCCGTGGGTGAGGATGACTTCCTTCCTGAGTTCCTTCTCAACCCTCAGAGTTTTGTTTTCTTTATTATATTAACATCTCTAGGGGCTTCTGCTTTCTGTGTTAGATTCTTGCTCTCAAGGAACAAATTAACCCTCTCCATTTTTCTCTGAAAGCAATAAAAATTTATATTTTTTAAAAGAGTTACAATTTGAGTATCACCCCTCTCCATTTTTCTCTGAAAGCAATAAAAATTTATATTTTTTAAAAGAGTTACAATTTGAGTATCACAAAGCAAAGCTTTGTGATATATGTGAATTAGGAACTCAGTGTTTGCACACTTTACATGTTGTCTACACTAATTAAGGTGCTGTCAGAAAATGATATTTTAGAATCATTTTCTAGAGAATATTCTAAGATTCTGCCATGTCTTCCCTCTCCATTTTTCTCTGAAAGCAATAAAAATTTATATTTTTTAAAAGAGTTACAATTTGAGTATCACAAAGCAAAGCTTTGTGATATATGTGAATTAGGAACTCAGTGTTTGCACACTTTACATGTTGTCTACACTAATTAAGGTGCTGTCAGAAAATGATATTTTAGAAAATCATTTTCTAGAATATTCTAAGATTCCACATGTCTTCTGGCCAGAGGATAACCTGGATTGGAAATGGGAAAGCCTTTATCAAAACTCACACTCCATTCTCTTTTATTTTCTAAGATTTTATTGAATTCAGGGAGGAAGGGAAATTAGAGAGAGAGAGAAACTTAAGCTGGGCATTAGTTGATGTTTTTGTATGTGCCCTGACCAGAGATTAAACCTACAACTTGGTTATATTGATACAATCCTCTAAGCAACTAGGCTACCTGTGCAGGCAGCTTGGATTCTTTCACTTAGTTCTGTTTATCTAGGCTTCTATCATATCTTTTCATGGCTTGATGTATTATTTCTTTACTAAAGGCCCAGTGCATGAAATTCGTGCACCTAGGGGGAGGGTGTTACTCAGCCCGCCAGCACCCTCTCCAATCTGGTACCCATTGGGGGTTGTCCAATTGCTGGTTTAGTTCCAATCCCACAGAGATCCGGCCTAAACTGGCAGTGGATATACCTTTCACAATCCAGGACTTTTGGCTCCCAATCACTCACCTGTTTGCCTGCCTGATTGCCCCTAACCGCTTCTGCCTGCCTGCCTGATTGCCCCTACCCGCTTCTGCCTGCCTGCCTGATTGCCCCTACCCGCTTCTGCCTGCCTGCCTGATTGCCCCTACCCGCTTCCCTGCCAGCCTGATCAATTCCTAACTGCTCCCCTGCCGGCCCAGTCGCCCCCAACTGCCCTCCCCTGCTGGATTGGTCATCCCCAACTGTCCTCCCTTGACGGCTTGGTTGTCCCCAGCTGCCCTCTTCTGATGGCCCCAGTTGCCCCTAACTGCCCTCCCCTGCCGGCCTGGTTGCCCCTAACAGCCTTCCCCTGCCGACTTGATCACCACCAACTACCCTCCCCTGTCAGCCTGGTCACCCCTTACTACCTTCCCCTGCTGGCCTAGTCACACCTAACTGCCCTCCCCTGCTGACCTGATCTCCCACAACTGCCCTTCCCTGCCGGCCATCTTGTGGATGTGGGTGCCATCATCTTTGAGGGCATGGAAGTCAATTAGCATATTCTCTCCTTACTGGCTGTGGGCACCAACATGTTTGCCGTGGCGTGAAGGTTAATTACCACATTCCCTCTTTATTAGATAGAAGTGAATAAGACATCATTTGTATGTTCTTCGGTGTATTTGTCCATTCACTTTGTTGACATACCTCTTCACTGCTTCCAATTTTTATAAATTATGAATAAACAGCTCCCTTGTAGGCTTTTGTGTAGATAAAAGGCTTAACGCTTTGGTTTAATAGTAAGGAGCCCAATTACTGGATCCCATGGCGAGTGTATAGTTAGTTTTATAAAAACCTCCAGACCGTCTCCCTAAGGGCCTGTAGCATTTGGCATTTTCAGCAGCAGTGATTGGAGTTCCAGTTGCTGCACATCACAAAGGTATTTGGTAGGGTCAGTGTTCTAGATTCTGATCTGTTCAATGATGGTTTAGTGTTGCTTGCCTTTTCTCTTTGTCCCTTCTCATTGTTATACTGTACATTTCCTTAGTGACACATAAGACGTGCAGGATAGTGTTGCACTGATATTCTGTGTGTATATATTTTGTAGTGCTGTGTGTTAAGCTGTTTGGTCCTTTTCAGGTTGTTTTGTCAATGTTGAGTTTGAAGACTTCTTTGTCTATTTTGCATAATTGTCCTGTACATGTTGACTTTTTTTTATTAATATACCATATATATACTGTAGACCTGGTGCACAACATTTGTGCATGGGTCATGTTCCTAGGCCTGGCCTCTCGGCCTCCCCTTTTCCTCACCCCCTCAGAGCCCCACAACCTCTGCTGGTCACCCGTCATATTTCGCACTGCCCCATGGTGATCATCACATGTCATAGCAAGCGATGGAACTGCACTCCAGGTCAAACTCCCAAGTGGACAATATATAGATTTTTATTGATTTCAGAAAAAAGGTGAGAGACCGAGAGAGATAGAAACATCAATGGTCAGAGAGAATCATGGATGATCTGCCATGTGCCCTGACTAGGAATTGAACCATGACATCCTGGTTCATAGGTCAGTGCTTGACTCCTGAGCGGTGTCAGCTGGGCCATGTTGACTTTTAC